CCCCCCAAACCCCAAACCCAAACCCTAAACCCCAAACCCTAAACCCAACCCCCCTAAACCCCAAACCAAACCCCAAACCCAAACCCAAAACCTAAACCCTAAACACAACCCAAACCTAAACCCTAAAACCTAAACCAACCCAAAAAACCCCAAACCCGAAACCCCAAACCCAAACCCTAAACCCTAAACCCAAACCCTAAACCCCAAACCCTAAACCAACCCCAACCCCCCAAACCCCAAACCCTAAACCTAAAACCCTAAACCCTAAACCCAAACCCTAAACCCCAAACCCCCCAAACCCGAAACCCCAAACCCTAAACCCTAAACCCCAAACCCCAAACCCCAAACCCCAAACCCCAAACCCTAAACCCTAAACCCTAAACCCTAAACCCTAAACCCTAAACCCCCCCCTTACTTAGGGCTCGTTGTAGTCCCCGCAGCTGCGCAGTGCCGCCACCACGTCCCGGGAGGTGTCGCTGTGCTGAAGGCGGAGGACCTGGTGTTCAAGCTTGAGGGCTTAGGGGTTTTTGGGGGTTTAGGGTTTAGGGTTTAGGGTTTAGGGTTTGGGGTTTGGGGTTTGGGGTTTAGGGTTTAGGGTTTCGAATTCTGAGTTTAGGTTTAGGGTTGCTGGCTTAGGGATTTTGCGCTAGGCCCCTGAAGCCCTCTGAAACATATTCCTAAACAAGATCTTCTTAAAGTAAGGGAACATAACCAAATATCCCAAGGGCCTAACCAGTTAGGGTTCAGAGTTTAGGGTTTATGTAGGGTTTGAGGCCTTAGGGCTTTTAGGGCTTATAGGGTCCCTAACCTCGACCTGGGGAGAATTGTTTAGGTGTAGGGTTTCGGGCTTACGCAAGGGAGGCGGGGGGGGAGGGGGGAAGGGGGGGCAGCCCTTTATTTTGGTTCTGCAGGTTTAGGGTTTAGGCTGTAAGGGCTTGAGGTTTAGGGCATTTAGGGTTTGGAGGGTTTAGGGTTGCAGTTTACGGCTTTAAGGGACTTCGTGCTCAAACCTGCGTATAAGTTCGGAATAATTGCTAGTAGTATTCTCTTCTGGTTCTTCGAGAATTAGACTATAGCAAACCCCCAAAACCCTATTCGAATTATTAAGGCCCGTGTATTAGAGACCGAAGCCCTAAGCCCTAAGCCCTAAGCCCTAAGCCCTAAGCCCTAAACCCTAAACCCTAAACCCTAAACCCCAGACCCTAAAGGCTTAGAGAGCTGAAGGGCTTTCGGGCCTGGTGCTCCACTTCGTCGCCCCACTTGAACGGATCGCCCTCCGTGGCACCGCAGGTCCTCTTCTGGGAGCTCAGAGAGTTTAGGGTTTAGGGTTTGGGGTTTGGGGTTTGGGGTTTAGGGTTCAGGGTTTAGAGGGTTTAGGGTTTAGGGTTTAGGGTTTAGGGTTTAGGGTTTAGGGTTTAGGGTTTAGGGCGCGCGTTGCGGGATTCAGGTCTTTTGGTTGGGGCTGAGGTGGGTTTCGAGGGTCCTCAAACCCAGAAAGCTCTCCTGAACTTCCCTAAGCCCTAAACCCTAAACCCTAGACCCTAAACCCTAAACCCTAGACCCTAAACCCTAAACCCTAAACCCTACACATAACCCCTAAGCCCCTACGCCCTGAACCCGAACTCCCTGCAAGAAGGGGCGTCTTAGGGAAGCCCCAACCCTAAACCATACCCATACAAAACATTGGCAGTACCAGAAACATCAAACCTGTCTTCCGTGTTGGGAAGCAACCAAAAGTGGCTAGGGCTCAGGAGCCCTAAACCCTAAACCCTAAACCCTAAACCCTAAACCCTAAACCCTAAACCCTACATGGCTTTAGGGCCTCAAGCTTCAGGGTTGGAGGCCTTTGGGCTTTCGCCCCGCTCCGAAGAAGAGAGCTACTTGGCAGCCCAGTAACCATCTTATGATAGGGGCACCTTTTTTGAGTTGGTTACTTTATAAGGAAACCTTGATTCAACAAAAAAAGGTTTAGGGTTTAGGGTTTAGGGTATATTATGATAAGGGCACCCTTTTTTTGAGTTGGTTACTTTATAAGGGAGCCTTGAACCAAAAAATAGGGTAAAGGGTACCACTGGGCTATCAAGGCTACAAGAAGCGAGTACGGGCAGGCTTCTGAAACAAAAGGTTGATCCTTACAGAGCCGCTTGGGGTTTAAAGGGTTTAGGCTTTAGGGTTTAGAACTTAAGACCGGCCCTAGAGCCTGAAACGTAAACCTACTGAAGCCTAAGCCCGACGCCTGAAAATGGACAAGAACTGCTCGATGCCATGCTCGCGCACATACCTGAAAGATGGGATCTGACACTTGGGGCCTTCAGCCTAGGATTTACGTTTAGGGTGTAAGTTGGGAGTTCGGGTGCCCTGAACCTAGATACAGGAGAGACCCGAAAGAAAGCTCCTAGACCCTCACCCCAATATCGCAGAGTGACCTGCTTCATCCAAGATAACAGGCTATCCGAGGTTCCAGCCATAAACAAACCCAAATAGCCCGCAAAAATACAAACACTGAACCTGGCCGCAAAGCCTGCCGCAGTCCGCATGCTAAAATCAGGGGGCCTTCAGCACTGAAGCCCTGACTCCTGAAACGCGCAAACCCTGAGTCCTTCCTGATTCCAGGAACTTTTCAAGACAACCCATGCTGATGGGTTTAAGGCTTGAGGTTTAGGCTTTCTAGGGGTTCAGGGTTTAAAAACTATGTGCATGAGGGCTGGCCTCTATGGGCACCTGAATTTTCCCGAAATCCCCCCAACGTAAAAGAAGACCCCGAAACGTGGGCCCTGGACCATTCAAAGATTTAGGTTTAGGGTTTGCAGGGTTTAGGTTTTAGGGTTTCGGCTTTTAAGTCGAGTCTGCAGTATCGCTTAGAGTCCTGACTAGCACTGAGGTTCAACGGATCCTGGTGCATGAGAGCAGCCCCCTAAACTTTAATCGCTAACTACGCGAAAGCCAACGGGGTAAGGCCCGAAGAGCATTTGATCGATCCTCATGTTGGGGCCTTATCAAATTGGTGTGCGGGTAGTTGCAGTGGAGAACGTTAACGCCTCAGAGCCTCAACTAGACCCTAGTCCCTACATCCTAAACCCTATACCCTAAACCCTAAACCTCAAGTCATTCTTGTGTTGCTGGACTTGGCCCCTTCTGAAGACGTCAGGGTTTAGGGCTTTCGGGCTCTGAAACCGCGACGCTAAACCCTAAACCCTGAACCCTGAACCCTAAACCCTAAACCCTAAACCCTACAGTAAACCCTAAACCCTAAACCCTAAACCCCGACGGGAGGCTTCAGAATGGACTTCGACTGGTTCCAAGTCATGGGCTCGCTCTCCTAGGAGACTCCCATGGCAGGACTGGCTCCCACAAGGGTTTAGGGTTTAGGGTTTAGGGTTTAGGGTTTAGGGTGGTTGAAACACCACGACTTTGCGACTGGAGTCACTAAGTCGTCAATTCACTGGCATGCCCAACCCTAAACCCTAAACTCATATTCTCCACGTGGTCATTCCAGCTCGCAAGGGCAGCAAGGGAGGTCGGATTTTCGGGCTTAGGAGGACCACCTGCCCCCTCCTCTCTAAGGCATAAGGATAGGGTTTCGGGTTTGGGGAAAACGTTTCTGGCAATCTTCACCAGCCCTGTATCAAAGACCCTATCCTGAACCCCAAACCCCGAAATTGAAAAAGACCCAATTGTGTCGAACACAACCTGCAGGTTTGGATTTGGGGTTCTCCGAAAAAAAGGGTGCCCCAATATAGACTGCCAAATAGTAGGATTCCTTATAATCGATAAGGTACGCCTATTTTCGGAAATCCGCATGGGGTTGGGCACTCCAGATCCCTTTGTTACTCTGCGAAACCCTAAACCTAAACCCTAAACCCTAAACCCTAAACCCCAAAGCCTGAACCCAAAACCCTAAACCCGGAACCCTGAACCCTTAAAGTGTTTAGGGCCTTAGGGTTTAGGGTTCAAAAACCTTAATCGGAATTATAGTAGTGCGGGGTATATGACCCCAATTTTCGGGTTCATCTCGTCCCAAGGATCCCAAACCCCCGAGCCCTGAACGCTTGAACCCTGCACCCCAAAACTCAAAAAGGTTTAGGGTTTAGGGTTTAGGGTTTGGGGTTTGGGGCTTAGCGTTTAGGGTTTAAGCTTTGCTTAAGAACCCCAAAACATATAAACAGAATAATCCCTATACTACCCTGAATAAGGAAGACCATTTTTCATTTTTTCGGGGTTCTTAAGCAACTAGTAGTTCTGGGGTTCTTGCTTTCACCCTAGAGCCCTCAAACCCTAGGACCCTAAAAACCCTCACAAGGACGCCCTCAAACCAGAAGACCCCAAACTCTGAAACTCAAAACCGTCCAACCCCCGACCCGAAATCTTCAGGCTGATGACTCTTCCCGTGCCAGCAAGGCGCATGAAGGAAACCCATGGTGACTCTCAGCTGGCAGGGCTCTCAAGCAAAGGTCCCGCGGAATCTCCACTGTCTATACAGCAGGGCCAAAAACGACTGCGGCTGCGAAGTCAGTACGGGTTTCTGGTTTAGGGTTGGGTCTTAGGGATGCCTAGTTCATGGTTGGGATAGCATAAAAATTTCTGGAGTCTATTCCTGATTGGGATTAAGTGCCCTTAAAAAAAATGTTACCCCACTATGATAAAGAAGTGCGCGAACTCCGTCACAGGAGATGAGCTCTCCAAGCGGGATGTCCAAGGCTCTGCGCAAGACGACAAGGGTAATAACTGGTTGCGCTTTCTTGCCTACCCCCCCTCAGTTTGAGAAACTCCGCCAGTTCGAAAGAAGGACTACGTAGAGACCAGGTATAGTTGTAACATAAGAAGGGGGTATGTCCGGGAGGAGGGGGTAAGTATTAACTGTAGGGGAGGGGATTACAACTGCAATACCCTGGACCCTAAAACCTAGACCCCTAAACCTCAGGTCCTTTTGGGGTTGTAAGGTCTGAGGGTTTTCGGGTTCGGGCCTTTCCCTTGAAGCCTCATCCTTCTGTGCTCGGGGCCGAGAGGACGTGGGAGCAAGAGCGTTTCGGTTCAGCATCATGTTCACCTGGGGAAGGGTTTGGGGGTTCCGAGCTTAGGGGTACCTTGTTGGAGTCCTTAGTTTAAGGGGATCCTACTATTCTGGGATCTTTTTTGGGGGGTCCCCAATTTTCGTAAACACCCATTGCCCGTTTCGGGTTTAGGCTCTGTAGGATTTGCGCTTCGGCGAGTGCGGTTCCATTCTCATATTGTACCTTATCCATGGAGGACATGAAAGAGCCCGAAAAGGGACTAGAAATGTCTAGGGTTTAGGGTAAAGATTGCAAAACGAGACTCATGGATGACCGTTCCGCCGCCTTCCTCAACCCCAGACCCTATATAACCCTCAAACCCAAACGAAGCCCCAAACCCTAACGGTTATGTGGATTCCCGGTACAACATAGGCGTAGACTCTTCATCATGGCTCCTAACTAAACCCTAAACCCTAAACCCTAAAATTAGCCCATGAAGATCTAGCCTCCGACACCCAGGTTCGGTGAGGGACTGAAGGCATGACGACCCAGAACAGGGTTGCTGCTAAGGATCTTACAGTAGTCAACCCGTACCCCAAACCCTAAACCCCAAACCCTAAACCCTGTAAATAAACGGGTACGTAGCAGTTACTAAGGTGCGGCTACTTTGACAAACTAGCCTAAGTGCTACGGATATGCAAAGAAACAAGATGGTGAAACCCTACACCCGAAGCCCTTGCCATATTGTTTCGCGGTTGGTGTGCCACATTAACCTGGCTGCACTTAGCAGGGTAGCCTTAAACTTAATCTTTAGCTGCCTTATGCAGAAACCCAATAATGAACCCTAAACCCTAAACCCTAAACCCCAAAAAGGCTAAGGATCTAAAGTTACAGTGAAGCACCACAGAGATTTTCACATAAAGCCAGGAAAGCTGCAGCCGAGCTTCCAGGGACGACTTCCCAACGTTACTGCGGCCAGCGAACACGACCTGCGGGTTTAGGGTTTAGGGTTTAGGGTTTAGGGTTTAGGGTTTAGGGTTTAGGGTTTAGGGTTTAGGGTTTAGGGTTTAGGGTTTAGGGTTTAGGGTTTAGGGTTTAGGGTTCCCTGACACACAACTCCCAAGATGGAGTTGTTCCAACTGAGGCTCTCTGGGCGTCTAGGGGTTGACAGTTGGACTCTTCTCAGTTGGAGTTCCCCTCCTCTACAGCGCGAACAACCGACCGGCATGGCGTTTCGAGGCGTCGGGGCTTCGGGGAACCGAGTCCCTAACAGCTAATCCAAGGGTAGCTACATGGGCCCTTACTATGGCCCCTTACCTCCTTAAAGGGTTCTCAATTATGGGCCTTTGGGTTGTCTAGGGTATTTAAGGGGTGTAAAAGGGTTACCCTGTTAAGGGCCCATGCTAAGGCACCATCTAACTACCCTCAGACCTAACCCTAAACCCTAAACTCTAAACCCTAAACAATGGTAGGATATTCATTGGGATTAGGGGTCTGGGCCCGTGGGCACAACTCCTGGCCTCTGGGCAAACTTCATCTTCCGGTGCCTGAGGAAGGTCCCACACCTTCATTCTGTAACGGAGGCTTTGGGGGGGACTTAGGCTTAGGGTTTCAGGGCTCGGGCCTAAACCCTTAAACCCTAATTAAACCCTAAACCCTAAACTTCTAAAAAAGCACGGGTGTAGAGGGAGGAGGTTTTGGGAGGAAGAGAGAAAGGGTTTGTGCTGGTGCCGGTTTCATGCTGCTCTGCTGCCTCTGCCAGGATGTCAATCGTGCGACTTTTGTACAACCGCAAACCGACTGAAGCATGAGACCTAAATGAAGCCCTAAACCCTGAGCCCTCAGCGCTGAAACAAATGTGAAGCATGAGTTCAGACTTCCACCATAAACCCTAAACCCTGAACCCTGAACCCTAAACCCTAAACCCTAAACCCTAAACCCTAAACTACACCCTAAACCCGGTCCGGGGGGGGGGGGGGGAGAGTTTCAGGGCTTCACCCAAAACAGGTTCATGCGGCTGCCAGCTTGAGGGGCTTTGTAGGAGGCTCTGGGATAGCTGGCTTCACTCCAATGTTCGAAAACCCCTAAACCCTAAACCCTAAAATACCTTGGGGTTCAAGGGTTTCAGGGTTCAAGGATTCCGAGTTTCGAGGTTCCAGGGTTCAAGAGTTGACGGGTTCAAGGGTTCCAGGGTTCAGCGGTTGCCGGGTTCAAGGTTCCAGGGTTCCAGGGTTCAAGGGTTCTAGGGTTCAGGGGTTCCAGGGTCCAAGGTTCCAAGGTTCAGGAGTTCCAGGGTTCAGGGGTTCCAGGGTTCAGGGGTCAGGCTTCAAGGGTTCAAGCGTTCAAGGGCTCAAGGGTCAAAACCCTCAACCCTAAACCCCAAACCGTGTAGGCTGTAGGGTTTAGGACAGTCAGCCCGAGTTATTGCAACTCTATCTGACCGATACGAGCACTATTTGCAGAAGTCGAGCTCAGGACTATGGGATTGTATGGGCCGCTGGCTTCTCAGGAAGGGCTTCAGGTTTAGGGTTTAGATTTACGGTTGAGGGTTGAGGGTTTAGGGTTCCGCAGTCATTTGTTGACGCCGATGGCCTTCATAAGACCTCCATTTCCCTGCAAGAAAAGCCGGGAATGCAGGTACGACTGGGGCAACCCTGGGAGCCCTAAACTTCCGAAACCCTAAACCCTAAACGCCCTAAACCCTAAACTCCCGAAACCTGAAACCCTAAACCCTAAACTCCCTAAACTCCCCAAACTCCCTAAACACCCTAAACCCCCTAAACTCCCAAAAACCCTAGAACTCCGTAAGCCCTAGAATGAAACCTCTCACGCGGCCTTCTCGAGCCTGGTGATGCGCTTCACCACATTGACGCCGATGGCCTGTCTCATGACTGACAGGGCTTCGGGTTTCGGGTTTCGGGTTTCGGGTTTCGGGTTTAGGGTTTAGGGTTTAGGGTTTAGGGTTTAGGGTTTAGGGTATAGGGATAGGGTTTAGGGTTTAGAGCGTCTAGGACTTGGAGGGCTTTCGGTGGGTTCCCTAAACCCTAAACCCCAGACCCGAACGAGATCTACGGGGCTTCGTGTGCAGGGCTTTACGCTTCAGGATGTCGGGGCCGGGATGGGGGAATAATACTCCGCTCCTCCGGGATTAGGGTTTATAGGGGCTTAGGGGAGACTTTGCTATGGACGTGGTCCACCTGTTCGGTGCCCTAAACCCTAAACCCTAAACCCTAAACCCTAAACCCTAAACCCTAAACCCTAAACCCTAAACCCTAAACCCTATAAGCCCTAAACCCTAAACCCTAAACCCTAAGCCTCAACTCTGAACCGTAAGAGACCCTGAGCCAGATCTTAGATGCCTCGGACTATATGCTTAGTTGCTGAGTTCAGAAGCCCCTCAAAAGGTTTAGGGTTTAGGGTGTAGGGTTTAGGGTTACAGTACCCACATAGTGTACTCACTCAGCTACTAAGTATGAGTGTGGTTCAAACCAACCTCCTTAGCAAAAGTGCTCGAGTAGAGGATTCCAACAGACTACATGTACCCAGTCGCTGCAATAAGCCTGTGTATATTTGTGCATTTGTATTTATTTGTATTCTGTTTTTTGACAACGTAGACAGGGCGATATAAGGTACCTGTCTCAATTCCCTACTAAGAACAATAGCACGGAAGTGCAAGGATGTCAAGGCTTGACCGGCAAAGGCTTACGGAACACGTCTTGGGGGTTTGCGCTTCCAGCCAGCCAAAGCAAAGACGAAAGACAATTTACACATGTTTGGCAGCCCAGCAATCAGAACGTAATCAGGGCGCCCTTTACATGGGGTTGGTTACTCTAGAAGGGGACCTAGGGCCAAAAAAATGGCAAAAGAGCACCACTGTACAGAGTTGCTGCAGCGCGGGAGCCTATATGCTGCAAGAGGCCCACGCCTCGTAGGTGAAGGAGTTTTTCGGCACGGCCAGCGCCTTGCGCTTTGTTGGGTGGGACATGACGGAGGCTGTGGCCCCTACACTCGAGGGTTTGGGGTTTAGGGTTTAGGGTTTGGGGTTTGGGGTTTAGGGTTGAGGGTTTCGGGTTTCGGGTTTCGGGTTTAGGGTTCAGGGTCAACACGCGTCCCCAGCGTGAAGTCTGTGCTGGCAGCGGCCATCGTTCCGTGCCATTGTTCCGTCTTGACATGATCACGGTGGGTTTAGGGTTTAGGGTTAAAGGTTTAGGGTTTAGTCTTCAGGATTTAATTAGGGTTTAGGCTACATCTTCAAGGAGACAGACGCATGAATAGGCCAGGTCCATCTGTCCAATCGGCTGACATCAGCGTGAGAACCGCTTGTCATTATTTCTCTCTCTCTCTCTCTCTCACCCTAAACCTTAAACCCTAAACCCCTGAACCCTGAACCCTAAACAAGGGTTCAGGGTTCATGGGTTGCACCCGGAAAGCGGACCGAGCAGTCTCTGATTTTAGGGCGCCTTTTCGGGGAGTCGGCAGGCGTGAACTGAGGGTCCAAGCCCTAAATGCAGGATTTTTTAGCGCCTCCCCCAGGGTTTAGGGTTTAGGGTTTCGGGTTTAGGGAGTAAAGCCTGTGCATCAACAAAAGGGGAATATGCCCAAGAAGACTCTTGCACCTTTGAGGGAGGCTGCTAGGGTTGCGGAATTTAAGGGCTTCAGGGTTTGGGACTAGAAGGGTCCCGATGCCTTTAACCCTGAACCCTAAAGCTTCTAAACCCCCCACCCTAGAATTTAGGGCGCGGCGGCAAGGTTATGTGGGGCTTCCTGGAACCTCCTGAGAATCCTCCAAGCGGGTGCCACTTTTGTGGGGCTCCTTGAAACTTATAGCGGTTAGGGTGACAAGGACTGGTCTCTTCAGCCACCGCCCCCCCCCCCCCCCAATTTTTTTCAATTTTAGGGCACGCGGTTTGCTCTGCGAAGACAGCTAGACAGACCTAACCCACGGATTGGGTTTAGGGTTTAGGAATCTCACCAGCCTCACGCATCATGTACACCTTTGTCTCATAGCATAAATGAAAGCCATAGATTTAATTGAAGGGCCTGGCCTTTCTTTGGATCCGAATTCTAGGGTTCACTAGGGAGTTGCTACAAATACAATTCGTAGAACTCCCCTTCAAAGCACTCTGATAACGCTGCCCCCAAACCCTAAAACCCAAAACCCAAAAACCCTAAACCGCTGGTGCCTCCATCCACTCGAGCACACGGAATGTAACCTTCACGGCATGCGCGCGTCCGCACGACCTAGGTTTGATCAAGCGCATGGGCTCAGGCTAGGTTTGGGGCCCTAAACCCTAAACCTTAAAGGGTTCTTTTTAGGGGGTTGAGGGCTCAGGTTCGGTTTGGGGTTTAAGGTCTGAGGGTTCGGGATGTAGGGTTTAGGTTTAGGGTTTAGGGTTTGGGGTTTAGGGTTTAGGGTAGGAGGTGCAGTTGTGAGTCCAAGGCTGTAAGGGGAGCACTTTCCTTAATGACTTGGCACATCTACACTGCTTGGGAAACCCTAAACCTTAAGTATTTGGGTTAGATACATGGTCCCTTCAACGGGGACCCCTTAAACACCCCTTGCAAAACTAGACAGCCCAAGGGCTCTTAGGAAACATGAAACTATCCTTAGAAAAATCTGGAATCATGGAACTCTGACACCCTGAGCACTTAAACCATACATAAATAAATACGCAAAACACTCAACCCTAAAACCCTAGAACTCAAAAAAACCAAAAGTGCCCCAATCCTAGCACCCCTATGGTTTAGGGTTTAGGGGTCAAAAGGATTTAGGGTTTAGGGCTGTTCTAGGCGGTTTGGGGGCTTTTCTTTAGGGATTTGGGGTGTTTTTATGGGTCTCATGGGTTTGCGGGTTGAGGGTTTAGGGTTCAGGGTTGCGGGTAAAACACTAAACCCTTAACATCCCTTAACCCTAAACCCTAAATCCTAAACCCTAAACCTAAACCCTAAACCCTAAACCCTAAACCCTGAACCCTAAACCCTAAACCCTAAAGCTAGGCCCGGAGCAGAAGGAGCTCGTTGAAGGCTTCTGAAAAGCACCGCTCCCTGGGCGCTTCGCTGTCTGTTTGAGGTATCGGCCCTAGGTCTCCAGGTTTAGGGTTTAGGGTTTAGGGTTTCGGGTTTAGGGTTAGGGTTTAGGGTTTCGGGTTTAGGGTTTTGGGTCCCAGTTGCGCTTGAAGTCCCTTCGAAATTGCTTACTAAGTTTGTACGAAGAGAAGGGAGGCTGCTTCGAAGGCCCAAGGGGTCGCCAAACAAAAACGCGGACCCGAACTCCCATAGAACCCTTGAAAAAAGCACCTCTCCCCGTCGATCCTGGAAACTTTATGAGCCCTGTACCAGCTCGGCCCGTGAGACCCTCTGAAAAGTTCCTACAAGGACGATCCTCTTGAACCCACTATGCAATCCGGAATATCCCAGGGCCCACGTACATTACAACCCTGAACCCGAAACCCAGAAAACCCAACCACCCACCCACCCAAAACCCCCAACCCTAACCCCCAAACCCCAAACCCCAAACCCCAAACCCCGAGCCCCAAACCCAAAAAAACCCAAACCCTGAAGCCTGAACCCTAAACCCTAAACCCTAAACCCTAAACCCTAGACCCGAAGCCGCTGGCCTTCTTCTGTGGGGCATCTCACGAACAGCCTTGGCCCAGCTGTCCAGCTTTGGGACGCTGTCAATGACCCACCGCACCGCCTGGGGTGGCTGGGAGTGTTTAGGGTTTAGGGTTTAGGGTTTAGGGTTTAGGGTTTAGGGGAGGTGGGCAGGGCTTGGGGCTTTAGGTTGGCTGATTGGTTGGTTGGTTTAGGTTTAGGGTTTTGGGGTGTAGGGGTTTAGTGTTTTAGGGTGTAGGGTAGGGCTTATTGTTCTAGAGTTTGGGGTTCAGGGTAGAAGCATGAAACACCTCAATTTTGTTGGCCATATCGTCGAGGTACGACGTTCCTCTAGGCAGCAAGGTTTGGGGCTTGCAGGGTTCGCTAGACCGAAAAAACCTTAAAACAAGGCCGTTCTCCCCAGCTCGGGTCGGTCGCCACAGTATGTCCGCAAGACACCCTGAAACCTAAACCCTAACCTTAAACCCTTAGCCTTAAACCCTAAACTCTAAACCCTAAACCCAATTGCATGAATCCCTGCAAAGCCCGGAAGCTTAGAACCAAACCCCAAACCCCCAAACACCTTCCCAGCACCCCCCAAACTGGGGCCCCAACCCTAACTGCTGTAGGTTTGGGGGGCCCTATGACAATTTGTTGAATGCATGGATTCTGTAAGCGATTAAGGGGAACACAAGTTAACAATCATGTTCAAACCTACACCCAAAGTCTGCAGCCCTAGAAGCCCGAACCTGACCCGCCGGCCACAACACTCTACTTTAAATCCCAGCCCCTGCACCATGTAACCCGTATAGTCAACCTCAACCCTAAACCCTGAACCCTGACACCCTACAGCTGACACCCTACACCCTAAATCATAAACCCGAAAACCTGAGCGATCCGCATCCAGCACCACTGGGTTCGTCTCCACGCCGCTGAGGAAATGCGTCCCACCTGCGACCGCGGCGTTTTTTGGTGGGCTTCAGGGGGTTTAGGGTTCGGGTTAGGGCTTAGGGCTTAGGGCTTAGGGCTTAGGGCTTAGGGCTTAGGGCTTAGGGTTTAGGGTTTAGGGTTTAGGGTTTAGGGTTTAGGGTGTAGGGTTTAGGATTTAGGGTTTAGGGTTTAGGGTTTGCAGGGTTCCAAGTCTGGGCCCTTAGCTTGTGTCCCTTTTTACGTAACCCTTATATACAACATAATAAGGGCCCGTACTTCGGATCCGTAGAAGCAAGGGTCAGGGAGCGTACTTGGGCCCGTATTTTCAACCTCAGAGGATTTGAAGTTTGAAGGGGTTTAGGGTTTGGGGTTCAATTGGGGTGTTATAGGGTTCTTGGGCTTTAACGGGTTTAGGATTTATGGTGTTTGGGGATGTAGGGGCGGAGGAGGGCGGGCTGAGGGTTGGGGATGTTTTTTTGTATATGAAGTAGGGCATATATTTCTTGTACCCCCCCAAAGGGACACCAAACATATACACTCACAAAAAAAAAGGAACCTTACATACACTCGCCAATAACAGTAATATAAACCCTGTGTCATATGGCTTACAGGGTTTTGGGTGTTGGCTGGTACATGGTACTTGCGCAAAACAACAATAAGCCAAGCCCCAGTTTTCGCACGGGCTGCTCCTGCTGCGGAGCTCTTGTCTCACGATTCCTTTAAGCGACCAGGTAGAGCAACGCCCCCATACATTATTAATTAGGGTTTAGGGTTCAGGGTTCAGGGTTTAGGGTTTAGGGCGTAAGTGTAGAGTCAGAAGCTATGCAAGCTGAGGAACCACGGAGACACACAGCACTCAAACACTAGCACACCAACTGCCCTCAAACTGAAAAAGACCGCAAACCCTAAACCCTAAACCCTAAACGCTAAACCCTAAACCCCAAATCAACCCTTCAAGTTGGGATCATCCACTCAGGGAGTTGCCCAGTATTCGAGAGCTCAACAGGCATATAACAGGGATCCGAACCCTAAACAGAGAGGAATATGGGTACTACTGGGCATCTCAGACCCTAAACCCTAAACCCTAAACCCTAAACCCTAAACCCTAAACCCTAAACCCTCAACCCTCAACCCTAAACCCTAAACCCTAAACCCTAAACCCTAAACCCTAAACCCTAAACCCTAAACCCTAACCCTAAACCCCAAACCCTAAACCCTAAACCCCAAACCCTTTTCGGGTTTCATGTTGCTTTCAGGGAAGGGAGCGCACCTAGCTTCTGTCTCTCCGACATGATGACGCCGGTCAGGCCCTGGGTGTCCCGGGGCCCTAAACCCTAAACCCTAAACCCTAAACCCTAAACCCTAAACCCTAAACCCTAAACCCTAAACCCTAAACCCTAAACCCTGAACCCTGAACCCTGAACCCGAAACCCTAAACCCTAAACCCTAACCCTATAAACCCAATCCAAGGGTAGTTGCATGGTCACTTCATGTGGGGCCCTTGAAAGGGGAGCCCTTATATACCCGATAAAACCAAATGGGCATGTTTCAGAACCCTTGAAGAAGGTAGGGAACCAGATTAAGGGCATGCAACTACCCTAAGACCCAATAAAGCCTGTAGACCGTAGAACGCCTACAAACCCTGTAAGCCTGTTACACCCTACAAACCCTATACCCCACACTATATGGGAGTGGGGGGGGGGGGGGGGTCCGCCGGTGAGTGTGTTCTGGCTGTAAAACCACCAGCAAGTTCGGGCCGTTTCTGGGACCTCCTGTTCAGGATTGCTTTTTCCTGGGCCCCGAAAGTATGTATGCAAAAACCCACAAAAGGACAATTATTCTTGGTGCTTTCGGGGTTTGGGAATAATCCATACCAGGGCTACACATCAGAACCCTGAGCCCAAAACCCGGACGGGGAGTAAGTAATCAAGGGATCAAGACCTGGGCACCCGGAAAAGCCCTAAACCCTAAACCCTAAACCCGAAACCCTAAACCCCGGAAGAGGAAAACAACTGAGATTCGTGGCCATGGCCAGGACCTCGATCAACCTCGGCCGGTGGCTCTGAAAGACTTCCCCCCCTCCCCCTAAACCCTAAACCCTAAACCTCTAAACTGCAGGAGGACGGAAAAACTTCCAGCCGTTGTTTTTGAGGGGTTTAAGGCTCAGGATTTGGGGTTTAGGGTTTTGGGTTTAGGGTTGCTTGGGATATCTAAGCTTCAGGGTTGGGGGGTTTGCGGCCTGGGACTTTCAGGTTTGGGTTTGGGGTTTGGGGTTTAGGGTTTAGGGTTTAGGGTTTAGGGTTTAGGGTTTAGGGTCTGGGTTTGGGGCTGTTAGAGTTTAGAATTGGGGGGGCATGGTAATTTGACATGGGACCCTTCAGGGCAGGGTTCGGGACTTCTCAGTGTCTATGGTTTATAACTGCTAGGGTTTCGGGGTTTCGGGTTCGGAGTTTGTAGGGTTTGGGGCTTCAGAGTTTGTAGGGTTTAGGGTTCGGAGGTTTCAGGGCTTAGGGTTTGGAGGTTTTAGGGCTCAAGGTAGTTTAGGGCATTGACCTTCATTCGTGGTAAACCCTCAACCCTGAACCCTGAACCATGAACCCTAAACCCTAAACCCTAAACCCTAAACCCTGAACCGGGTTTGCGCCCGGGGGCCCGGAGCTGAGAGACCTCCAACTCCCAAGCCCAAGACTCCAAGACCCCACAACAACCCTGTTTCTCCTGGACCCCAAACCCTACGCCCCAAGCCGACACTCCCTAGCTTTCTGGGCTAGGGTTTAGGGTTTTTAGGGTTTTTAGGGTTTTTAGGGTTTTTAGGGGTTTAGGGTTTAGGGTTTAGGGCTTAGGGTTTAGGGTTTAGGGTTTAGGGTGAAACCCTGAACCCCTAAACGCCAGTTTGGGGTGCCCAGACCACCCCGCAACCCTCAGCGAGCGCCCGGCAGCTGAGCCGCGTGCACCTGCTGACGGGCTGGCAGCTGGGGACTAACTGTCTTAGGGTTTAGGGTTTAGGACTTAGGGTTTAGGATTTAGGGTTTAGGGTTTAGGCATTGAGGGTTGAAGAATTTAGGCTTTAGGAATGGTTCTGTAGTGAAGTTCCTAGGAAGCTATAGGTAAACTGAGTCCCCCAGGTGGGTCTAGGGTCTAGTCTTAGGGGAGATATTGGGGTTTAGGGTCTTGGGATAGTTTTCTGAGTTCCTCTCAGATTTGTTGCAGAGGTTCCACTGGGCGCACGTGGTTCAGCAATCGGTGCACTGGGCGTTTTCTTGAAGAACGCAGACCATGAACACAAACAGCTTGTGCTGCGGGCGCTGATATAGCTAAGAGTAGTAAAAACCGTTAACGCAGAGATTGAAAAGTCCTGAAACCTACAACCTGAAACCCTGACTCAGAACCCTAAGCCGCACTCATAAAGCCTAAACCCTAAACCCTGAACCCGAAACCCTAGACCCTAAACCCTGAACCCTAGACCCTACACACAGATACTAACAACCAGAGCTCCTCTGTGAAGTGTAGGCAGGGCGTCTCCCTAACCGCTAACAAAACTTCAGCTTGGATTTAGGGTTTAGGGTTGATAGGTTTATAGGGTTTAAGGAGCCTAAACCCTGAACCCCACGCTCTGCCAGATGTAGGGTTCAAGCTCCGGTTCTGGGGCTACTGCTGTGGCCTTGGGGTGTAGGTTCCGAATGCATCTATTATCCCGAAGCCATGCGGGAATCGTCCCCGTCGATTGCTATTTGAACCCAAAACCCCAAACCCTCAAAGTTTCGGACCTCGTCAAACAGGTCGATGTACTGCATGGCTGCCTGGTCGGATATTGAGGGTTTAGGGCTTGGAGCTCAGGGTTTAGTACTCGGCGAGAACAACACAGCGCACACCAGGTGCACAATGTGAGGCTCCCTCAACCCCTACAGACCTCCCTCAACCCTAAACCCTATACACCCACAAACCCCGAAAAAAGAACCCCTAACCCCCCGACCTAAGCCCTTAACCCTCAACTCGCAACCCCAAACTTCACCCTAAACCCTCAACCCTCGAATAGGGTAGTTTAGGGTTTAGGGTTTAGGGTTCAGGGTTTAGGGTTTAGGGTTTAGGGTTTAGGGTCTGGGGTTTAGGGTCTAGGGTCTAGGGTCTAGGGTTTAGGGTTTAGGGTTTAGGGTTTAGGCTTCGGGTGCCTGTGTCCGGAGAACACTCACACGTACGTTTGTACATGCTTATTCATCTATGTAAATTTAATACATACATATAGGTATACACACATTGTGTTGGCTATATCCATCTATACGTACTTATATATACATAAATATATATGTATATATATATATGAGAAAGAGCAACATTACATATGAACATATACACACATATATATACACACATATTCATGTACATACTCATAAGATAGCAATGAGGACATCAATCGCAACGAACTTGTAATTTAGATGGTTGTGTTCCCCCCCCCCCCCTAACCCCTAACAGCCTGACATCATGGAGAGGGCGCTAGTTTGGATGGTCCCGGTACACCCGTGATGCAAGGCGCCCATTGCATTTTGCCCAGCGCTGCTTCTTGCACGATGGTCCGAAGCCAAGTGCTGTGCTCAGCTTGCGGGGACAAGTTGGGCGAGGACCCGCTGCACTTGGACCACGATGCTGAAGCAGTATGTCGGGAACATACTGCTGTGACATCGCAACAAGCGGCTAAACCCTAAACCCTACACCCTAAACCAATGAGAAGCTACTACTACGCTCTAGGATGCAGCCTCGTTCGCTTCCTCTCCTATCTCTCAGATTCCGACGGGTGTGCTCTGGGCTGCTGCTCATCATCCTCGTCCTCGTCCTCTTCCTCCGGCCCTTGCTGCTGCTTCGTCCTTTGCAACTTGGGTTGCGATGTTCCCCCTTAGACTAACAGTCCTTAATCATGATTATAGTACCCCGTATTATAATCTCCATTAAGGACTGTTAGTATAAGGGGGGAACATCCCAAAATTTGGGCATAGCTGTGGGGGCTCTTTAGGCTTTAGGTTTACTTGGGGTCTTCGTGGCATAGTAAGAGGGGCCTTTTTGGGGCTGGCTACTTCCGAAGGGAACCTAGAACCCCAAGACAGGGCAAAAGCGCTCCACGGGGTTTCCAGAGCACACGCGCCGACTCTAAGTCTCCGCAAGTGTGGCCGTCAACCTGAAAATGACCCTAAACCCTAAACCCTAAACCCTAAACCCTAAACCCTAAACCCTAAACCCTAAACCCTAAACCCTAAACCCCGGGCTTCGGAGATATGACAGCCTTAGGGCAGTAGGATTCGCAAAAAACCATAAAAAAAAAAAAAACCGTTTCTCAGCCACTGCCAAACCCTGTACTCTACATGAACCCAAACGCTACACGAACCCTCTTAAACCCGATAGCCTTAACACCACCATAAAACCCTTTAACCTTATCTAGCCCCTAAACCCGAGATTGAAACCTAGAAGCCCGAAGCACCCGGCATTGAAACCTTCATAAAGTAGATTTATAGTCCCTTCGTATGAACCCTTAAAAAGGGGACCACTTATATACCCCTTATATACCCTATACGACGCAAGGGCGCATACTTCAGAACCCTTTAAAGGACGCAAGGGACCAGAAGGGCCCATATAGCTACCCTTGGAAACCTAGAGGCCCTAAGCCCTAACCCCTAAGCCCTAAACCTGAAAACCCTAAATACCCCAAACCCTAAACCCTAAACCCTAAACCCTAAACCCTGAACCCTGAACCCTAAACCCTAAGCCCTACTTTAAAAATCTCCAAGGCTCTTCCTCCTCTTGGCACCTCGCCGGGTATCCGCCGGGAGGAGTCCAGTTCCTTCCTTCAGCGCACGATCCTTGCAGCCCTTCAGGCTCTCGAGCCTGAGTCGTACTTGGAGTTTGGGGTTTGGGGTTTAGGGTTTAGGGTTTAGGGTTACTTACAACCTACTTAATTAGGGTTATAAGTACCCTGAACCTCCAAGTACTGTTGGTCAGAAGGGAATGAGTTAATTAGGGCATCATATACACCCTGTCAGGGATTATATAGGGTACCTCATTCCCCTATTCCCTGATAACCAAAAGGTACTCCTCTAACCAACAGTATGGAGTCGGGTGAGTTGGGTTTAGGGTTTAGGAATTTAGGGTAGGGGGGGGGGAGGGGGTTGGGGTTTAGGGTGTTGGGCTTTCAGGGTTTAGGGTCGAGGGCTTAGGGTTCAGGGTTTGGGGTTTGGGTTCAGAAGGGGACGGGCTTCGTGGAAACTTGGGGAGTGAACTTGTAAACCCTGCACCGTGAGTTTTTTCTCAACGCGCTCCAAGTGCTGCCAACCATTGCAGCTGATCCGGAAAGAACAACAGCACCCCTAAGCCCTAAGACCTAAACTAAACCTCCCTAAGACCTAAACTAAACCCCACAAATAAAGTCAGCAGCTAAAGCCGCACTAACTAACCCGCTAATGGCTCAAGCCCTTCGGTTTTAGGGTTTTCGGGCTCCGGGTTTTAGGATTTTAGGGATATACAGGTCCGCCGACCATGGCGGCGTGTTGGATGGGTTTGGGACCTTTTTCTCCGAAACGCGCTGCACCGCCAAGGGCCCGGGGGAGGGGGGGGGGGGGGCGGTGGTATCCTGGCAGCTTGTCTGTGGAGGATTGCAACCCACGCCGCACCATGGGAGCTGGCCGAGCATTCCTAGGGCCGAAAGACTTTCGAGGTTTGGGGTTTCTGAGAAGTCGCCGGTAAGGGCCTTCTGTCTGCTTCTGCCTTGACCGCCCTGCCGGGCGAGCATGGCCAACATCGCCGCAGGGCCGTTTTCCTCCTGCCCCGACTTGAGGCTGCCCTGCTCTGCCCACTGCATCTCTGGGGTCCTTGGCGGCCCCTGCCGTCTCGAAGGGGTCCGGGGCCGTATGCATTCCCAGCACGTTTTTGCGCACCCCGGGGGTCTAGGCTTTCTGGGTATTATAGAGCCCTAAACCCCAAACCCTAAGCCCTAAATCCTAAACCCTCAACCCTAAACCTATAGGCTAGGAAGCCGAGATGCAGCTCCCCCAACGGCGCGCGCTCCATTGCAGCCGATGGCCTGGGGCCGGAGCTTGAGCTATTAACCTTGACTATATCGGCATATCAGTCACCCTAAACCCTAAACCCTAAACCCTAAAACCTAAACCCTAAACCCTAAACCCTAAACCCTAAACCCCAGACCCTGAGAGTTATGGTGAGACTTTGCTTCCCTTGGAAAGAACAGTCCCGCAAAGAGAAGCTTTTCAGAACAAGAGGACCTCTATGTCTTTATGTAGTCAGGGTTTAGGGTTTAGGGTTTAGGGTTTAGGGTTTAGGGTTTAGGGTTTAGGGTTTAGGGTTTAGGGTTTAGGGTTTAGGGTTTAGGGTTTAGGGTTCCCGGAATCTTCAATCTAGTCCCTAGACCCCAAGCCCCCCAACCTTACCCCCGCAAATTCTTCGGGCTTGCTCTGGGGTGACATTCGAAGCTTCCTTCAAACTTGGCGCCCGCACAAGTACAAGCTGAACCTCAAGACTCTCGCTGCCAGGATCAGAGCGACTGTAGGAGCTTTAATAATTAGAACAGGGTGTTAGGGGGTTCTGCTTTAATAATTAGAACAGGGTTTTGGGGGGTTCTTAGAGTATAATTATGAAGGCACCATAAGGGAAGAGTATTAGTATTTATTCCGACCCTTACATTCAACAACAAAGAGCCCCTAAGCCCGAAATCATCGAGCCATGAACGCCATGGACGATACTTGGAGTCCAAGATTTACAGATTGCTTTGCATGGGTTGGGGGGGGGTCGGTTCGGGGCGAGGGCTGGTTATTTGGGGCCACCACAAAGGGCTGATGATCTTATCTTAAACGAGATTTAAGGGAATGAGACCGAAGTGTGGATTGATGGCATTGAGACCCTCTCTTTACCAAAGCCCCAAACAACACATCCCATTAGCCCAAAAAAGGCCCCCCCCCCTCACCCGACTACACTGCCAATGTTGCTGAATGCTGCCCCAAAACCTAGACCTAAGCCCAAAACCCAAAACCCAAAACCCAAAACCCCAAACCCTAAACCCTAAACCCTAAACCCTAAACCCTAAACCCTGGCAGTGACGAGGGGCACGTCCACTCTCTCAACGGTCGGAGGAAGACGACGATCATCCTTGCTTTTTGAGACATCATGGCGGAGCTGATGCACCTCAAAAGCAGACTAGGGTTTAGGGTTTAGGGTTTAGGGTTTAGGGTTTAGGGTTTAGGGTTTAGGGTTTAGGGTTTAGGGTTTAGGGTTTAGGGTTTAGGGTTCAGCAAACCCCTGTGGACACTCATTAAAATCGGAGGTTTAGGGTTTAGGGCTCAGGGTAGGGTCCCATGGGCGTCCTAGGTTTGGAGTTTAGGGATGAGGTTGAGTCCCGGCGTGACAGATTGTGCCCAAGATGAAATTTCGGGGCTTGGGCTCGGGGTCAGGGCGTTGAGCTTAGAGGCTTCCAAACTCCGGGACCAATCTAGAAATGGTAGGAAAAACAGACCATTAAGCCCTAAACCCTAAACCCTAAACCCCAAACCCCAAACCCCAAACCCTAAACCCTGGACAGAACTGACGGGTTCGCCCGATCTCGGTTCAAGGATTCGGGCCAGGAGCCATGCTTGGAGCATCTGCTTTCGAGGAGGAAACCCAAGAAAAAGGGTGCCCGCTTGCGGTTTAGGGTTTAGGGTTTAGGGTTTAGGGTTTAGGGTTTAGGGTTTAGGGTTTAGGGTTTAGGGTTTAGGGTTCAGGGTTCAGGGTTCAGGGTTCAGGGTTCAGGGTTTAGGGTTTA